TTATTTTGGGGCTTTTTAAAGCAAAAAAAAAGATTTTCCCCAAACAAGTAATTGAAAAATATGTCAAAAAATGGTTATTAGTTTAAAAAAGGGTAAAATGACAGTTCTTAAAAAGAGCCCCTTTTTTTAATATTGTACAATGTACATTACAGGGAAAATTAAATAATAACACAGAATTAAAAAGTACAGGGGACCTTGACTTAGGGTTTGTTCTTTTTTCGTGAAAAAAGCTCGTAACAAAAATTTTGCTCGAAATTTTTAAAAAAAATTTTTCCTCACTAAAATTTTAATTAAATTCCTTTAAAATCCATTCCAGAAAAATTTCCTGCTCCGGAGGCAGAAAAACATTACTTCATTGAATATAATTTTAAATCATCATCACAATTTACTAATTTACAAAATAAAAAATAAAATAACAGGGAAACACGATTACACTCTAAAATGAAAAATAGTCATTATGTGCGAGGGGGTGGAAAACCCACCCCTGCCCCCGCTTTTGGAACCATATTTCCCCCTTCTGAAAAGGGGAGTTTTTTGTGAGGCTAACTGCACTAATCATTAGTTTTTAAAAAGGGAAAAAACACTAAAAAAACAATATTATTTTAAATAAGAAATATTGAATACAACAAAATAAAACATAATGGAGAATTTTAAAGAAATAAAGGGTTTTTTATAAAGTGCACTTTTTCCCTTTGGAAAAACAGAGGCGGGCGGGGGTTTGGGGGTTTAAAAAAAGAAAGGAACTTGCTAACTCTTAATGCTACACTTTAGGGCGGGCCCTGGTGCATAGTTTTTTATCGATTTCCTTTGCTTTGGGTTTTCATGCATATCTTTGGGAAAAGAAATTTAGTGGTTTAATTTGGGGCCGGGGCCAAAGCCCCACAACCTCCAAACCTCACTCGTGTTTATCTATGTTTTCCATTTCAAATTCAATGGAAAATCATCCTCTTTTTCTTCTAAGCACTGTCCGGGCATTTATTTTCTTGGGACCCAGGGGTTAAAAAAAGAAATTTGGCAAAAAAAACTGCCCCAAAAGCAAGCCCCAAACAAGCTTTTTTTAAACTCAGAGAAAAAAGTCAACCGAGCAAAGGGTTCGTAATAAAAAAAAACCATTTTGTTTGGAAAACCCTCGTAATCGGGGTTCCCCATTTAAAATTTAGAGGTTTTGGCCCCTTTGGGAATGACCCGGGTTACACTCCAGGTAGAAAACTGTTAAAAGTTTTATCATCAGGGGAACTATATTTTATGGTTTTTTTTTCCTGTACCCCCTCCATTTTTGGATTTGGGGGGAAAGCTAGTCCCTTGTTTTAGTATATGCAATCCCTGAAATATTTTCACCTTGATAAAACCCCCAAAAATTGTATCACCTTATTTTCTTTGGCCCTTCCTTCCCTTTTGGGACAGGTTCTTCAGGAAATCTTTGCCCAAACTTCCCCTGTCCCTTTTCCTATCTTCAACTTTTTGTCGAAATGGGAAGAGAATCTGCTGGGAAACACCTCATCTCTATGCACTTAAAAAATTTAAAAGGGGGAAATTTGCAGTGGGCCCCTTTTGGGGCCCATCCCTTGGGGCCGGCCCTTTATAAAAAACCCAAACCCCACAAACCCAAAAAAATTTCCCCAAAACCAAATTTTAAATGCAACCCTACCAATGAGCTTTGACAAATCTATGTGCAAGTCCCACTCAAACCCAAAACCCTCTCATTCATGCTTTTACCCAAACCCAAAAACTTCAAACCCCCCAAAGGGTTTTTAGTTCAATAACCTTACAGGCAGACTTTTCCCAAATCATAAAATACCCTTTTTTCCAAATTTTTAATTTTTAAATTTTAAATAAAAAAGAAGCGCTAAGCCACAAGGGCTTTTACACGCTGCGGGGCGGAAAGGGAAGCGGGGGGCATCAGGTGGAAAAAGGAGGTGGATGATTAATGGGTTTACGGTAAAAGCGGAGCAGGGGATGGTAAAAAGGGGTAAAGGCAGAAAAGAGACTGAGTTTAGAAAGGGCTGGGGGTGTCCCGTAAGGTATATCATCAGAGTTTGTGGGTAAATAAACGTTGTCAAAAAAGTCAATGAGGAGTCAGGTTTAAAAGGGGGAGGGTCCATCAGCAAAAAGGGGAAAGGGTTTAAAAGAGAGTATTTAGAACGAAGACGGCGTTGGAGGGAAATTTTTGCGTGCTCTTTAAATTGGGAGGGGGAAAGCTAACAGTTGGGGGCCTAATCGATACGGGAAAAACGTGACACTGTTACAGAGGGGGTACAGGGTGCCTCCCCATGAGATCCCCGTGAAAAGACAAAAGTGGGGCCCCAATGCGAAGAGGGGAGGGGAGGGGTTCTCCCAACCACGGACCTGATACAAGAAGAGGGCCAAACCTTGCTCGGTTTAATAAAATAAAATTTTTGTTACCAAGCAAGTTGACCAACGTTTTTTGCCAACGGGCGCGAAGGGGGGCAGTTTATTGTAGCAAAAATAGCCCAAAAGGAACCCCTCTATGGGAAAAATTGGGGAAAGGCCCATGTCCTGCTGCCCGGCAGCAGTGTTTGCCTATTCATTCCCCTTTGTACGTCAACGCCAGGGACCCAACAAAAAATATCTTCAGCTTCGTAGAGATACGGCGTACCCCAAAAGTTGGGTTTCGGAGAACTAGGGGATGAGATGTATAAATTTTTTTGTATGGGCCTGTATGGGCACAAAGGGGTCTGAGACTACTCCCAATGATGAAAACAGGAAGATGCAAACGAATAAGTGCTGCAAGAATGGAAATACATTTTTAGCAGTAAAAATGCCTGGGCGAAGAAAAGTAAATCCCCCGCACGCGCTGCCCGGAAACACTGCTGCGAATCCGACCCGTCTGAAGACTTAGACCTTTCTGGTCACAGCGGGTTGGCATGAAAATTTGGGGAGTGGAAGTGATAAAGAAAAAAAAGAGCAGGAAGCCCCGTGGGCCATTGAGCTTTCGAGAAAGGGAGTGAGAAAGAAAAACCCGAACAGCGGGAAACTTCCCGGGGGGGTAGGGAAAAGTGAGATGTTTACATGAACATATAAGGTGGAAATTTAAGGGAAGCAAAGTGAATGTAGGCGAAAGAAAAAAGGGACGGGGGAAAACCCAGGGGGGGGCGAACGAATAAAGAATGCCCTACTAATACCCGGGGGACCATTCTTAAAGGGAAAGGATTGTGTAAAATCGTGAGAGCGTACATAGTACGAAGGAAAATGGGCATAAACGGCGTTTCAGAAAAGGGGGGGGAACATTCGCTTCTTTTATAGAGGCCCTAAACGGGGGAAGAGCAAAAAAAGCCCCCAAGGCACAAACAAAATCCTTGGTGTGGATAGAGTTAAGGCTTAGAGAGAGTAGCGGAAAGGGGGCCGCGGAATAAATCGGTTTCACCTTAATCGAGTTTCGTTAAAACGGGGCCCTGAATTTTAGGCGAAGCGGGTTTCGACGTCAGCCCCCAGGGAAAGTTTAAAGCAATTTTTTTTAAAAAGGTTTTACCCGGGGCTTTTTGACAATTTTCCTTCGAGAGGTAATGTGGGGTTTTTCCAGGATAAACCCGGCAAAGAAAGGCCTAAAACCTAAACTATCCCGTTCGGGGATACGGGGGGCCATAGGATTAAAAAGGGGGAAAAATTGGAGAAACAGACGTCTTTGAAAGTAATTTGGGGATTTTTTGGGTTTACTTAAAAATTTTAAAACCATGCGGGGTTTGGAAAAAGGGGGAAAACAGGGTTCCGACCGCTTGCTGGGGGAAAAAACGCAATAAGATGACAGCCCAGCGCCTCCCAAAACCAAAAGCGAAGTCATCAAAAATTAGGTGAATCCCCAAAAATTTATTGGGGGGGAAAAACAGGGGCCAAATCTTTATAGCAAGGAAAAAAAAGTTTGTGCTTAGAACCATCCCTGAGGGACCCCTTTCAGCTTGGACGAAGTCCGGGAAAACTTTATTGACCCCGAACACGGAAATGTTGTCATTTAAAAAAGTTCTTAAAGGGAAAGGGAAAGGGTTTTAATTCCTGGGAAGGCCAAAGGGAAGGGGCCGGGGCCCAAAAAATTTATCCCCCAAAAGTTGTGCCCATATGCCTTTAAAGGTAAAAAAAAAATGGCAATAACTAGGGGTTTTTTTCGAAAAGGGCCCTTTTATAAACCCGTACCCCAAAGCGTATAAAAGGGGTCTATGGTAGAACGCCCCCTTAGGGAAAAGCCATATTAAACCTGCGGAGAGACTGTTGGGGTTTCTCTAAATACCACTTTAAAAAGGCGATTTCGAGATTTCCATCATTTTGCAAACTTCACTAGTAAGGCGAGGGGGCAAAGGGGTTTTACCCATTTTCCCCTGTGGGTCCCCGGGTTTTGCAAAAAAGGGAAAAGGGAAACAATGGCGTTTTTCCCCCACTGGGGAAAAAACCCCTTTTGTGCCCAAATAAGAGAAGGGGGTAAGGGGGACTACAAGGGTTTGCCCGGATGTAAATTTTTGTAACAACGAATATGAATGTTTTAAA